GCATGAATGAGAGATCCAGTGATGTGATGGCCTTGATTTCGAGTTAGATTTATGTTGTCATGTTCATCCATAAGACCTTCTCCTATCCCGTAATCTATAAGCCTTTCTTTAGCAACATGCAGATCTTCTGGGAACATACTACAGTATAAAAGGCAACACCGAAAAATGTCATTTGGCAAACTATCATAACTAAATTTTAGAAGTGGGTATACCTCCTCGCCCATGTTTGGAAACACAAATTAGCCGATCTCTTCAAGACTTCAATTGCGTATTTCCATTCTTCAGGTGTCTTCTTGCAAGCCATGGCACGACAGATGGTGATGAGTGCAAGAGGTAGTCCTCCACATTCTTTGGCCACTTCTTGAGCTAGCTCACGAATATTTGGATGACTATCAAGCATATCTTTCCCAACATGTTCCTCAAACAATTTCCAAGCCTTTCTTCTGGCAAACATGGCACTTTAATCTTCTTATGAGCTCTCATTTGGCAACACACGTCAAAAGAACGAGTTGTGAAAATTAGTTTGGAACCATTTTCTTGGGTAGGAAGAGGTATCCCTGCCATAGATAGATCAACTCTTTCCCATATGTCATCTAACAACAATATAAATTTCTTCTCTCTCAAAACCCTGAAGATGTCTATAGCTTTCTCTTCAGGAGTTTCATCGGTCCACTGTCCACTATAAAGGCCTATCCTCTTTGCAATGTCATCTTGACCCTTCCAATATAAAATCCTTTAGACAACACCACCCAAATAACCATATCAAATCCACCAGACGAAACACCAATCCTGTTGTTGATTTCAGTCAAGAGCCTAGTCTTGCCAACTCCTCCAACACCATATATGCCAATAATGGCCATATGTTTTTCTTCAATGTTACTCCAGACCTTATTGTAGACGGATTCCAAGCCTACGAAAGAGTCAATAGGGCTTTCAACCACTGGAGCTGTACTTCTGTAGCTACGGCTTCAAAAGCTCCGTTGTTCTTTAGATCCTTAACATCAAGGAGTCTTTTGGCCACTATTTTGCTAAAACTAAGGGTAGATTTGTAATTATTGGAACAACAGCCTCCCACACATAATTTATTGATTTGTTCAGGGCCATCAGTAAGCAGTGCATCAACTTCATCTATCATAGTTTCGGCCCTTGAAAGCCATCTTCGAACTTCGTCCAACGGCATCAAATTTTGTTGTTCAGCGATTGTGGCCTTCCTCATCACATCATTCCTTCGGGCCTTTAATTCGTCCAGTGCTGTCTTCAAGTCTTTAAGGTTTTCTTCAAGATGGCGTGTGTAGATTGCTTGTCCAGCAACACAATCCC